TCTGATCAACTTGAAATTTACATATGTTGTAGTATATTTCATGTAGAATATATCTGCCAAGTTTCATAAAAATCCAACGGTCGGATTTTGAGAAAAATTGAGATTTATATTTAATTTTTCGTAACTTTTGCTGCATGCTGGTCTTACGTGCTTTGTTTTTATGTTATGAAAATTACATATTTGGAATCTTTGTTTCGATACGTTCAAAATAGTATATAATGGGCCTAAGGCCGACTTACGGTTGAGGAGAAAACTCAAACCCTAATTTGAGGCGAAACTTGAACAAAACATGAAAGAAGACAAAATTACTGTGCACTGATGTCAGCGCGACACGCACTGATGTCATCATGACACAGAAGCCGCCGACTGAGCCAAGCTGCGAAAGGCAGTTGCGTTAAGACCCTGTTTGTTTTGTTTTAATTTTAAAACTACGTTAATTGCTTCTAAATTATTTGTTATAATTTTAATTGAAGCATGACTTATACCGTTGAGCACATATCACCACTGTAAAAAATAAAAATAAAAATAAAAAAATGTGAAGAGTCTAGTACTTTTCTTGGACTCTCTTCAGTTGGTTTTGCATTGAAGCCAATTTGAGAAGACATCAATGGTATCTATGTCAACTCTGTAATGCTTCTGAGTGAATTCAAGAAGAGTTGGCCAAGTGAAGTCTGGATATATCCTTGGATTATGACTATTGACCAATCCATTAGGTGGACTCACCACTTTGTCCATGTTCGGAGACAAAAAGAAGGTCAGAGACTTCCTTGGAACTTGTTTGTTTACCACTGCTCTATGCAAGCAACTCTTGTAAATTCCATTTGATAGAGCCTGAAACATTTTCAAACTTTTATGCATTAAAATTCAAGCTTATGCTAATAAACTTCATTAGAAAAAGTTTAATAAGATTCTCATATATTTTGAGTTTTTCGCATGATTGAACACATGGTCCACTGTTTCTAAATTCAAGTTTATCCTCCGCTCTTTGAAACCATCACTAACACTGGACACAAGGTCTTCTATCCCTAAATTTTAATGTTCGTCTCTCAATACATCCTCAATTATTGAATTATATTTCGAGATTCTCTTAAGATTCAATAGTTAAGGAAAGTACATTGACACATAAAGACAAAGGGATTAGATGACAAAGAATCCATAGCCATGTCAATCATTCAACAACATTATAAAGTTAGAAAAATGGTCGCTAAAGTCGTCTTTGGCGATGAAAAAATACCTTGGTCGCCAAATATGTTTTTTTTTTTCTTGTAGCGATATTATAAAATACAATTTGTAAGAAAAACAAAATCATACAGAATGATAGGACATTTTGCAATCCTTTCATTTGAAGAGAAAACACCCATCATTGTAGCCAGATTTACAAAAATATTATTGCCACATCATTCTGTATAGATTGTATTATGAATACAAATTCTATTCAAAAATAATTTTTTATATATAAAAAAATTACCAAATAATTAGATGTCATATAATTAAATGTCATTTTAATGGTGTCACATAACTCTGTATCTAAATTTTACATATTTGTGTGTTCGTTTATTACTACAATTTTTGAAGATTAGATCATTTGTTTCTAAATATTGGTGTCCCCCATCCCAAAACATCTATAACTATTAGATATGTTTCGAGATTTTTGAACCCTCACATAATCCAATGACTATAAATGTTTTGGATGAGAGAAACAAGGATGACAATAGGCAAGACGGGAGAGAAAACTTCGTCCCTGCTTTGCTTTCTCATTGAGAACGAGAAAATTGTCATCCTAAATTTAGAACAAGAGGAAACTTAGCCCTTTTTGGTTACTTTTTAGACTATTTTTCTACTCATAACCTTTTCCTTATTCAACATTTGTTTATGTACTTACCATGAATGTGTCTCCAATGTTGACAACAAAAGCTTGTGAATTGGGAAGAATGGAGTGCCATTGTTGATCAACAAACACTTGAAGCCCACCAACATTGTCTTGATGAAGGATAGTGAGCGAGTTTGGATCACGATGGGGACCAGTTCCAAGAGTATCATGAGCTCTAAGACAAGGGGGGTAGTTGTTTAGTCTCATTATTGACTCATTTCCTTCAAAGAATTCTCTTAAATAGGTTGGGCCCACTCCTAGGCTCATCCCCAATAGCTCCATGATCCTAAGTGAAAGAATGTTCATTGCTTCACAATAATCTTGGTATATCCTTCTAAGAAAACACAAAAAGCAACAAAAACAAAAACAAAAAAGAAAGTTTAGCTAAATAATAAATTGAGATAGAGATAGACATGGTTCTAAATAATTAAGGGTATTTTTATTTTTATATTTTGGGTTGTTTCATTTTGTGTTTTTATTTTTGAGAAAACACAAAAATAATAATAATAATAATAACTAAAAAATTATTTAACGAATTGTTACATTCTATTTTTGACCAAGTACCTTTGTTGTACTCTTCGTTTTACATCAATTAATATATATATATATATATATATATATATATATATTTCAAACTGGTTTTCATTAAAAAAATTTGAAGACTCACTTTAAAAATCTAATGTTTTCAAGTGGGCTTCTTAAATTCAAACAAAATCATCTTTAGTAATGAAATTAACGCAGCTACTTAAAATAATTTAAAATGGTAAAATTATAAGAAATATAGTACCTCTCTTGTTATCCATTAATAGTATTCTTTTTTAATAAATTATGTTTTGATTTTGTAATTTCATTCTTGTATCAATTTGACCTCAATAAATTCAATTGTATTAATTTTGCTCTTCAAATTTTTACTTTCTATTTTGGGAAATTAGAAAAAAAAATAAAGAAAAATATGATTCATTAAAAAAGGAATAAATAATTTCAAATCAGATGTTAACCCCTCAATTACTCTAAGATATGTCACACTTGCTTTCAGTTTAACTTCTAAAGGAATGTTATGAATTAGGGTAAATTGACATAATGTGAAATTTTCAAAAATAAAACTATAGTAATCAAATTAACGCAAAACAAAAATTACATAGACTATGGTTCTTTTCTTTTCTTTTTCTAATAAATGTGTATATATATATTTGAAAGCTTTTCGAGAAAATTTTCTGAATACCTACTTTTGAAAAAAAATAAAAAAAATTATAAAAATATAAATAATCAGAGATACCATGAAGCATGAAAAGCTATTTTAAAATCTACCTCGAAATAATTATATAGCGTAGATTTAAAGTTGATGGGATGCGGACCACAAGGAAAATGATTATTATTCATAAATATATTTTTTTAGATATTTTTTATGAGTTTATATAGCATGGTTGAAAAATAATATCAAACTGATTAGTATTTCTAAATTTTTCATTGTTTTGTTTTCTAAAACACAAAAAAATGAAAAAAAAGAAAACAAAAACATAACCAAATAGAACAAACTAAGGTTTTCATACCCAAATTGTCTAAAATCTTCACCCATTGTGCCAACCAAGTACTCTCCAACCACGTTTGATGATCCACCGTCATCGCAATATCTAAAAGAAAGAGTTTCTTTCCATGGAAGCCTGGAAGAGTACCTACCAGTAAAGCTACTAGCATACCCATGATATTCCCCAACTTTTCTTTGAGCTCTCTGTTTCTCTTTCAATGGCATATCAAAAAACAAGTCCATGTTCTTCTGAGCTTCACTGATAAGCTCTTTGCTAACTCCATGGTTTATGACTAAGAAGAAGCCATGTTTTTTGTTTCTAAATATTGGTGTCCCCCATCCCAAAACATCTATAACTATTAGATATGTTTCAAGATTTTTGAACCCTCACATGATCCAATGACTATAAATGTTTTGGATGAGAGAAACAAGGATTTAAATTTTGTGATTTCAAACATGCAATGATGTAATTAATATTTTTAGTTTCAACGGTTATGGTATGAAATCTATATTTATATCTACACGTCTATCTATGTTATTATGTAAAAATATTATTGGTTAATGTTTAAATCCTCTTAGTGATTGCCAATAATATATTAGTATTATTTTCTAAAATTTTGTGATTTCAAAAATGCAATGGTGTAATTACTATTTTTAATTTCAATGGTTATGGTATGAAATATATATTTATATCTACACTTCCATGTATAATATTATATAAATATTATTGGTTAATTTTTAAATCCTCTTAATTATTGTCAATAATATACTAGTATTATTTCCTTAAATTTTGTGATTTCAAAACATGTATTGATGTAATTACCATTTTTAATTTCAATGGTTATGGTATGAAATATATATTTATATCTACACTTCCATGTATAATATTATATAAATATTATTGGTTAATTTTTAAATCCTCTTAATTATTGTCAATAATATACTAGTATTATTTCCTTAAATTTTGTGATTTCAAAACATGTATTGATGTAATTACCATTTTTAATTTCAATGGTTATGGTATGAAATATATATTTATATCTACACTTCCATGTATAATATTATATAAATATTATTGGTTAATTTTTAAATCCTCTTAATTATTGTCAATAATATACTAGTATTATTTCCTTAAATTTTGTGATTTCAAAACATGTATTGATGTAATTACCATTTTTAATTTCAATGGTTATGGTATGAAATATATATTTATATCTACACTTCCATGTATAATATTATATAAATATTATTGGTTAATTTTTAAATCCTCTTAATTATTGTCAATAATATACTAGTATTATTTCCTTAAATTTTGTGATTTCAAAACATGTATTGATGTAATTACCATTTTTAATTTCAATGGTTATGGTATGAAATATATATTTATATCTACACTTCCATGTATAATATTATATAAATATTATTGGTTAATTTTTAAATCCTCTTAATTATTGTCAATAATATACTAGTATTATTTCCTTAAATTTTGTGATTTCAAAACATGTATTGATGTAATTACCATTTTTAATTTCAATGGTTATGGTATGAAATATATATTTATATCTACACTTCCATGTATAATATTATATAAATATTATTGGTTAATTTTTAAATCCTCTTAATTATTGTCAATAATATACTAGTATTATTTCCTTAAATTTTGTGATTTCAAAACATGTATTGATGTAATTACCATTTTTAATTTCAATGGTTATGGTATGAAATATATATTTATATCTACACTTCCATGTATAATATTATATAAATATTATTGGTTAATTTTTAAATCCTCTTAATTATTGTCAATAATATACTAGTATTATTTCCTTAAATTTTGTGATTTCAAAACATGTATTGATGTAATTACCATTTTTAATTTCAATGGTTATGGTATGAAATATATATTTATATCTACACTTCCATGTATAATATTATATAAATATTATTGGTTAATTTTTAAATCCTCTTAATTATTGTCAATAATATACTAGTATTATTTCCTTAAATTTTGTGATTTCAAAACATGTATTGATGTAATTACCATTTTTAATTTCAATGGTTATGGTATGAAATATATATTTATATCTACACTTCCATGTATAATATTATATAAATATTATTGGTTAATTTTTAAATCCTCTTAATTATTGTCAATAATATATTAGTATTATTTCTTTAAATTTTTTTATTTCAAAACATGCAACGATGTAATTACTATTTTTTAATTTCAATGGTTATTGCAACGCCCTGAAATAAATAACAATAATCCACCACATAAATTTCTTACAAATGATCAACACCATCATATCTTATGTTACATTCATAACTTTGATCAATTCACAAGATAACATATGCAATATACATTCAAAAATTTGAGATTTTGAATCTAAAGCATATGCCATGGATACATAAATTAAAGTAAAAATAAAACCAAATAATTATATGCCCTAATGGCTACAACATTCCAAGTCAATACTTGGGTAAAACAAAATGAGTTTAACTAAATACAAGTAAAGCCCAAGGCTTAAACAAAAATAATTACATCAATAAACAAAAATGAAGCCCTTGGCTCCAAGTCCTCCCAAGATACGTCATTGGTGAAGACATATCATCAACACTTGAAAGTTTTTTTTCTATATAGGGTGAGCCAAAGCCTTGTAGAGATGCTCTAACACAGTATATGAATCTTAGCCTAATGATAAGGTGAATGCCCATGCATGTTGTAACGCCTCGAAAATTAAGTTACCCCAATCAAATATGCTCATGTGGGTGTAACCAATATAGAAGAGAGAGAGAGAGAGAATAAGTCCGTAATAACATTAATAAAATTTCATAACTATCTCTTCCCCATTGAACTATTCTAATGATTACATCATGTGTTTGATTACATCTATAAAAAAAAAAATAATAATAGTTAAAAGACAAGAGATAATGTAAAGAAAGAGCCAAAAGGCAAACGTCTTTTCAAAGAGTGTCCTTGTCACGACCCAAACCCGCCCCCATAGGTTTAGCGTCGTAATCAGCCAGTAATCCTTGGATTACCAAAGGCCTCTATACAGAATAACATATAATTAAGAGGACTAGTGGAAGCAACAATACAAAATACAATGTCCATAGAGATGTGCAGACATACATGGAATAGAAATCTAAAACTTTATATACATACATCATATTTACATTAGTCTTACATCACCAACATATACAGATAAAACCAAAATGGGACTTAGCCTAATATACAGATAAACAAATACTGGTTCAGATTTTAATAAAAGAAAACAAGGTCTTCAACTTAGTTCACAAAACTCGACCACATTACTTTTTCTGGAGCCTCCTCAAGAGGCACAATGGTTGGTTGACAAAACAGAAGTCCAGGCAATCATCGTTAAGCCTGGTCACGCGCCTAATCACTTACATACATAAATAATATAGTGAGCTGGAGCCCAATGAATAATAACAAGGAAAAGGGTTTAATAAATGTTGTCCATAACAAATATAGAAAATAGAATTCAGTTTATATCAAAAATGGATTCATATTCTTGTTCAGAAATCATTATTCATAACAGAAATGGAATCAGAATCATATTCATAATCAAAATTTACAATTAATCGTACGTGGTACATCCATTAGCACTAACAGAAATAGTTGACCCATAAAAGGACAACCATGAAGGCATATAATTGACTCGCGTGCATCGAGATGGTACAGTTGGCTCATGAGACGTTCAGTTGGCTCATAAATGAGATGTATATAGAAGGATCCATAACAGTTGGCTCATGAGATGTACAGTTGGCCCATAATTGGGATATAACAAAACATATAACAGATATCATCTGAAGCTAAGGATGCCACGAATACATTTTAGAAACATTGGACAGCCATTTATTCGTACCGAAAATAATAGTTCAGAAAACAGAGTATCATATCATTCACAAATGCAAATAGCTGAAAACAGCTTTATAGAGTTATTACTCATAGTTGGCTCCAATAGTAGACAGATAGAGCAGATAAAGCAAATAAAGTAGGGTAGATAACCAGATAGCCTACAGCGCAAGACCTATATAAACACAAAACGGATACACATTGGAAACACATGCTTGAAATTCATTTAATTAATTTCTTTCTTTCTTGTCTAGGTGTGTTTCTAATCTTTATTCCCATTACTATGTCTTAATTGGGGCTTAGGAATGGCTAGGATGCAATGAGGATGCCAAAATGTGCTGTGGAACTCTTAGCCAAATTTTAAAAAACAGGGCAGTTTGCTCAAGTGCAACTTCTGTCGTTCGAGCAGTCTGCAAAGTCTGCAAAAGTATTAGTTGCATGATTTTTCCACTCGACGGATGCTCGGTCGTCGCTCAAATGTAAGATTGGGTACACAGAGTCTCCATTCGAGCGCAACTTCTTACGCTTGAGCAGTCTGCAAAAGTCTATAAAACTTCTAGGAGCTCTCTTTTTTCGCTTGATCGCAACTTCGGTCGCTCAAGCGGAAGGTCAAAAATAAGGGTGGTCGCTTAAGTGCAGGTTTTACCGCTTGAGCCGCCGCCCCCTAAACTCTACAAAAGTACTGGGAGCTTGTATTCTCTGCTCGAGCGTAAACTCCACCGCTCGAGTAGAGGGTGCAAAATCTGGAATTTCCATATTGCTGATACAAGTTCAAAACTCGATTTTAAACCTTGAAAACACCTCCTTTTGGGTCAAAACTCTAGAAAACACTTATAAATTCGTAATATATCATGAGTCAAAAGCCAATTCGCAAACTTAAGCCCAAAAGCTTTGACAATTGTACAAAATCAAGCTTGGAATGTTGAAAACATAACATGAACATGTCATGTGTGATATGAATGAGATTCCAAGTCTCCAACTCATAATCAAATGAGGTGTTCTACTAGAAAACATGGTAAATTCTTAAACCAAAACCAAAATATGAACATGCATTGGACAAATTCTTAGTCAACATGCTCTAAATGCAATGTAATGCACATGCATGTATGTATACTCTTCTCTTCTACTACATTAAGCTTAATTCTTGCCTCAATTCACTTAATTCTTTTGAATAGATATGTTAAGTACCCGAATTGTAGAACTGAAGGATTGATTTCTTACCTTAGGCGCTCAATTATGGCTCTCGTTAGAGCTTTCTTTTGGTAATTAAGAGGACTAGTGGAAGCAACAATACAAAATACAATGTCCATAGAGATGTGCAGACATACATGGAATAGAAATCTAAAACTTTATATACATACATCATATTTACATTAGTCTTACATCACCAACATATACAGATAAAACCAAAATGGGACTTAGCCTAATATATAGATAAA